AACAAATTAACATTAGACACGTCAGACTCACATGTATTTAGGTCAAATGCATAAATAAGGTTTAATTAGATATTTTACAATTTTGATTTCAATTCTACATTAGGTCTTAACTGATAATTGGAAAAATGTATAGCGAACAAATTGACATTTACATCTATTTTGGTTTAATGCATTTTAAAGGTTTAACGAATAAATGATTCGAAAGAATTGCATATCCGCTAGGACTTACGCAAATTGAAGATACTAACTGAAATTCAATGTCACATACCTTCATAGGAGATGTGTATGTTTAAATGTCTAAGGTGCCACGCACTGTTGACTTACTCCAGTCTATGCATTTAAAATTTTAATTTACAATCTACTAGCCCAAATTCAGTTTTGAATTCATACTACTATATATTTAACTAAATTTTTGTATATTTTTCACTTCATGAACTAGTTTCACAGGCTAGGGGCCTGTGCTAAGTTTGATGACTGCAACTTGGAAGCCATGGCCATGCAATTTTGGCTGGTCACCATTGAAGGATATCTGGTTGCTGATACAATAATAATCCATTCCTAATTTCTAATTTAAAAAAGAATTTTTTCTAGTTTCATTGTCATTGATGACTAGTATATCTTGTAACAATTTTCCATTACACATAGTTTGAAACTATAAATTTGATTCATACCTCTATTTGTTACAATCAGTTTAGACGTTGAAACAGTCCGGATAATGCATTCTGTCAGATGTCTCAATAATACATATATAATGTAATTGTTTATAAGTATTTTCACAGCTAATTATTTGGTCTATTAACTCAGTTGCTGGTTTACAATAGCATATCCTGTAATGTGCCTGACAGTTTAAGGCTGCAGTCCACATATATTTAAAGAACAAGTCAGGATCCATTTAAATGTTAGACATTAATTCTACACATATTATAATATTGTCATTAGATATATGATTTGTCGTAACATTTTTGTCCTAACATGACTTGATTAAATTAATGGTAACTTCGGCAAATTTAGCCCCTCTGTTTCAATCCTTATTACAGGTCAAGCTCATCCCTAGTCAAGTCTCCCTGGGTGGCGGAAGGTTCCCTTTGTGGCGGTTTTTACCTCCCAGTTTGGTTATTTCGATACAAATATGTACATGCCATGTTTGTTATTATGTAACATTTGTCATGTTTGTTATTATGTAACATTTGTCATTTATGGCATTTAATAAATGCCCTATTTCATTCAACCTAAGTGTTGTGTTTTATCTCATACCAAACAAGTTCGTCTTGCCAGTTATATTTGCTTGACCTGGACAATACATAAAAAGTTAATGCAATCTGTGGAAACAACGGACGGACGCACCAACAGGCTTTAAGTTTACCCATTAATGCGTTTTTGACGTTTCATACCTCCATGCACTTTAACCTTAAAACTTACATTCCAAATATCAAAAAATTGGGGTCACTTTTCAACGTTGAATTACGACCCGGGGTCATTTTTCAACACCTTCACATTACTGATCAAAATTTAACGGGTGGGTCAAAATTCAACGTTGAGAATTGACCCGTGACCGTTGAGAAATGACCCAGGGTCAATTCTCAACGTTGAAAAATGACCCTCAGGGTCATTTCTCAACAGGGTCAAAATTTAATGTTACACCGGTACCCCCAGACTTATTGGGAAAAAGATGCGTTATTTTGAACTTAAATTGGAATTTTTTATGCATTTTTTTCAGCTACAAAAAAGATTTAAAGTCATCATTGATAAAGACAGCTAACAGCTTCCACAGTCCAGGGGTGATTTATATGAATATGTTGGATTTAAATGATTTCAGAGAAAGCACTTGGCCTTGTTGGGAATTTGAACAGCCATTTTGGGAATTTAAACATTGGAAATTGGGAATTTTAATGTCTATTTTCTATTGGGAACCAGTACCGTTTTAGGGTAGTAGTTATATAAAGAAAAAAAACACTGTCAAATTTGTAGAAGGCATGTACGATACATATCAATATTTAATCTTCAAATTATATGTAAAAATATTCCATTATAAGGCCACAATCACCTAAAAATGTTCGAATTTCTAAATGTTGACGAAATGCACCAGGGCATTTCATGACGAAGCTTCTATGAAATGTAGAAACCCTGGCTTTGTCGCATTTATCATTAATAAAAAATGTTATCATCATCATCATCATCATCATCATTAGCATTATTATTATTATTATTATTATTATTATTTTTATTATTATTATTATAAAGATGTATTTACTCTTAATATTCTATAAATATAATTCTGCATGTATGATAATTTTATACACATTGATAATCATTTTTTGTGCCTACTTGTTGATGTGCTTTTAAGGGTATTTTTTAAACAGTTGCATTTATACAAAAGAGTTTATATTCAGAACAGAGATTCGTCGGGAAGTCTTACATGAAGAGAAAGAAGAAATATCCAGTATATAATTAACTGACATGTCAAAGATCAGAAAATGAAGAACTTTGTATGCAACCTTGAATTAATTTATAGCAAACAGAATTACTATCATTATGATAGATTTTTTTCTTTTTTAAATGATAATTATGTCACTGTAACTATATAAAGTAAGAATAATAGTAATTAACAAACCCTTCCTCATTGCTTTCAAGAAAATTTATGTAATGTTCATATTCAAATAATTTTTTATATGTTCAAGAATTTTGGTAAAAGTTTGTAGCTAACGTATACAAATTAACATAACTGTTACCGATTTTTATTTTTTAGCAATGTTCTGACTTATACAGCGTTTTGGTTGATTGGTTTTGTCGGTAAACAGCTTTTTAGCTAATGATTTTTATAATTTGTACAACAGACACTTTCCGTGGTACTCACATAAATGTCATTTAAACAAAGTTATTTTAGTAATAATTGTTATTTATTTAATCTTTGTGCATTAAATGTCGTTGATCATCATAAAAAATAAACATATTTGAAAAAAATGCCTTTGTAATGATTGATTTTGAATAAAAAATCCTAAAATTTTAAATCGTCATATCAAAGTCATTTTTTAATTTTTTGTCATCAAACTTTTGGAAAATAACCATACTTATATTATCTAGGGAACCGTGTCTCAAATTTTTTCTATCTTTTCTCAAAAAAATATTACGTAACGTCAAACATTTTATGCGACTTTTTTTCACCATACATATTACGTAATTAAAGATAATTAAGTCGCCTATTGAGCAAACAAAAATCCCTGACACGGTTCCCTCCGTAAATGAATTTCCTTTCATGTGCTTTAAACCGCATGTTAATTGCTTGATTATTAAAAAAAGTTATGCCGATTCAAAGTTAGTCCGACCGCGCATCAAACGAAGTGTCATAAATCGGCTATTCTATCTCGGGACCCCTACGTTTCACCTAAATAATTGCATAATACACAAATATCGCACCAGAGAGGGTCACAAGTTGCGGTAACATACTCTAACAAACATTTTATGACCCAGTGACATCTGACCCAATTAAAAAAGTGCTGATTAATATCAGTTTATAGCAGAAATTTCTTCAATTCTTAACGTGATTTACTGCCCGTCTGGTATCAGTCGCACATGTCACGTGACTTTCGGTAAAATTTGAGGCACTCAGTGGGGGGAAATGGAACGCATTTTGCGCACCGCTAGCGGGGGTATTTAATTGTTTTCCTTTTGAAGTTTATTATTATTATCATCAGCATTATTATTGTTTTATAACCAGTGTCACTCTGCCTGTGTATTCGTGTATGAAATTCCGTTAAAATATAAAATAAAATAACAAAAAACTAAGCTTCTGACAGTCGTTTAAAGTCCATGGTAGATGTACAAATAAGAACGGGATATTATATATTTTTTCCACCAAATTGATAATGCTTCACATATTTTAAAAGAAATAAAAGGTATTACTCGATCATTATGATCTGGCCTTCTTGACTTCTATTATGAATATCATCTATGCACGGCATAGAGATCCAGTTTCTACCGGGATAGACAATAAATTTCATACTTTGTCCCAGATTTTTTTAGTACTGTGTCCGAATTACTGGCGAAAAATTTATTTTCACTGAGAATATATTTTAAAATCTTTTTTTTTTTATTTATAGAGAAATAATCATCCTTAGACAATCTAAAATGGGTTAGAAATTTGTCAGGGACATCTTACCACAATTAAGTCACACAGGCGTTCACATAAAAAAAAATGTCTGTTTTTGTTGTTGTTTTACTTGACATTGTTAGAAAACGAGGTTGAATGTAAAGTAAGCCCTTGAATCAGTACAAAAGTCTATCAACTCAACGTAATATCTATCAGATTAACGGGACAGACAAATTATTTTCACACATTATGTATATTGTAGCAACTACATTTTTAATCAACCCGTGGTCGTGCGATTTGCCGCTATGCTTAATTATTTATGTTTCATACATTATGTTACGGACATTGGCCGACAATTTCTTAATTTATAAAAAAGGCTAAATGTTGAGATATTCATAAAAGATGTACGTTAGTTGTACGATACATGTATTACGAGAAGTATGGACCAGTATGGACCTGTAATTCACGGATATATGGAACTACCGATTTCCCTCATTGATGCCTCAACAGGGGCGGAGCGTTATCGATAATCGACAGGTTACGCGAATAGCAGATACAAATAGTATAGGTTCCGTTTTAAAAACGTTTAAAAACACATTTTTTGGACTAACTGCTTCCAAAATTAAAATCACGAATGTGTTCAGAAAAGGTTGATAAATCTACTTAGCAAAAAATCTCATTTTAGGTATTTTCAGTGATAATTGACTCCGTTGTCACCTTAACATAATTAAAGCTTCTTTAATTGCATGTATTTATGATGGGATGGATTGACAAAGATAAATAATTATGATAATAATAATAATATAATAATGATGATGATACGCATCATCATCATCATCACCACCACCACCATCATCATCATCGCGATGACAATGAGAATAAAATCATTAGAAGAAAAAAAAAAGAGATTGTATTTACAAACAACCGATTCTAGTGTACTTCGTTCGTTCGATTAAACTAAGTGTACAGTGAATTAAAAGTATAGAAAATCAAGTGTAGAAAGCGGTAAGTTCAAAACATTATTTGTTAGTTTTGTTGTCGTTTAAGGGACATCACAATGATATGTTGTTGAAAGACTAAATATAAGGTATAAAAAATCTAACTTCTCTATGTTTCTAGTAATTTCAGCATGATCCTTCATTGATAGGAGGCGAGGATTCGCTTTTAAATGTTACTAATAATTTAATTTGGATTCGTGCACAAAATGTTCGTGACCAAGTATCGTACTTATTGTAATTAAAACGAAGCCATTATATAATCAATATTAGTTTATGGGAATATGCCCAAAGTTTTCAAAATAAATAAAAACAATTGGAAATGCAAATATAAAATTTATTTTATTGCAAAATTTCATCTGCAAAGTTTTATAAAAATTATAGTCTACTAGCACGAAACATCTGAAAACAATTAGGACTACCTCAGTTTCTGGAACTCATGAGTAGTGGTGACAGAATTATAACAAATCCTGGTCAATTTGGCCCTAAAACTAAGTATTAAAAATCGGCCCCGGGATGTTTCGGCCCTTTTCTGCAAGACGTGTCAGCCCTACTATAGTATATTTCAGAAATAATGTATCCCAAACTGTGATTTTTACTGGCCCAGAGCAACAGATAAGGTGCGTATTTGCGTATTTACGCAATTAATTTTATAAAATACGCAATTGATTTTTTTAGAATGCGTATCAAAACCCATTAAAAAAAGTAAAATACGCAATTGTCTTAAAAACCCGTGCGTATTGTCATTTTTATCACCGCGAAATTAATCTGTCGTACACTCGTAGTTTTGGACAAATTATATCGATATGCATGATATCCGAATATTCCCGAATCAATGCTAACTAATCAACGGTCTCCGGTCTTCGACGGTCCCCGGTCTCCAAAGACAGACTAAGCATAAGACCGTCGATTTTGTCTACTCAGGTTGACGGTCTTTACAGACCCGCAGAGACCATTGATTTTGCAGAGACCGTCAATAGGTAGGTCCCAGCTGTATCAATAGACGCTTTGAAAAGCAATATGGCGTCGTACAAAGTGAAAATGATTTGAAACAAAACAGTCGCAAATAATAAAAAAACAGTCAGAAAATGAACTTGTTAAAAAATATTATGAAATTTAACATGAGCATTTTATATAAAAAAATAAAACAATTGTGAAAAGTTCTAGTAAACTGTTAATCCTATTTTCTTTTTTAAAACAGTTAATATATCTAAATTTAATTTTATTGATATTGAAACCATAAAATTCATATCTTTATAATTGAATACCCAATTGATCTTGAAATCATAGGGTATCGAGTTTTGGAATACCCAATTAAATGGAGCCAATACCCAATTCCAAAGGAAATGATGGAGTAATACCCAATTCACTTTTAAAGCTTTAATATCTGTTGCTCTGACTGCTCAATAAAATCACTCTTTGGAGTTAGGATGCGAGGAATTATGTCACGAGGGCGATATAATGATGCGCATTGGAACGACAAACAATGATTTTATCAATGCAATAAAATCACCAATTTGGAATATATTATTTCGATTCTAACACAACATCAAATAAATGCTGCCGTACCTGGTATTAAGCTATTGTGCCTTTGTTTCCGTACTTATTTTCAATGCATCACATTTTTAGTGGTTACGTCACATGTATAATGATTACGTCACGTGTCTAAATATAGAACATCAAACAGTGATTTTATTTATTGCATAATAACACACACTATCAGTTCTTCTATGTTCAATAGGGAAAAATGCGGGTCGTGTTAGAATGCTTGATTGATTACACAAACATTTTTGACACTTAAAGTCTTAAATTAATAATTCATTATCTTTTGATCTCTTGAACTATAAATACTTAGATATTCTTTAGATATATGTTAATGTTTTTAATGGTGTAACAAACAATTAAGGCACTTTAGTGTTTGAAATTATTTTTTTGTCCAATAGGATTGCAGTATTTCCAATGAATCGTAACTCATTTAACTTGTTTACTTTGGTGAATCGGCTAACTGTTTATAAAATTAATTTAAAACACTAAGCTTGTTAAAATTTATTAGTACGTATTTATAGAATTGAATTGGTCGCGCAGCTGTGTTGGTGCCAAGTTGGTATAGGCACAGATATATAATTATAAACAACGGATAGGAAACTCGGAAAATAGACAAGAGTCTGATTCACTCCTTTGCACGCCTCGGTGTTAATCGGGCTTTCCCGCTAGTTTCCGATTTTCACGCTATCGTTTAACTTCGGCGATATCCGTGAATTATTGCTTACATTGCTGACATGGATTTTCATCGGAGTAATAATTGTGTGGAAAAGTGTGTTTTGTACGTTTTAGAATAAATAACTATTGCTTCTTATATAAGTAAAAAATCTTTAGTCTGTTTTGTTGATGTACCTCCAGGAATTCAGTATGGCGGTATTTTGGCTACTTTTACCGAGGATGCATCGAATCTCGCAAAATCTTACGACATATGATGATAACTTGCGGAAACACAATTCCGCCGAAACTGATTTTAACTTTGTGACGTCACAGTTTCTCTCCATCTTATATTTAGCTCCATGGTATAGGGCCATGATGACTCGGGGCCAAGTTAGTTTCAGCCGAGTTGACCCGGCTTCGTCATCTTGGCCCTATACCAACTCGACCAATATTTTATATTACTCAATTTCCTGGTAATGATGAATGTTATAAATAAAGTCTAAAGAACAAAAATCATAAGGAATAATTTCTCTCACTGGCATAAAGTACTAGTGTACTGTATTTTTATACATAATTTGTTTCAGACCATGAAGCGTTCATCTTCATCAGATAGGTCTTCTTTGGGGCCGTTGAGGATACGAAATGAAGAAAGTTCGAGAAACAGTAGAAATTCAGTATCAAGTTCAGGTATGAGAAAGAGATCTCAATAAAACACTACTGTAACAAGCATTCATAAATGTTGGTGATATTAAGCCTACACCAGTAACTCTGATTAAAGTACTAATGTTTGTTTGTTTCATTTTACGCCTTTTTCTAACAGTATTTCAGTCATATAGGCGGAAGTACTTATGTAATATAGGAGGAACAAGCAAGAAATCTTTCTATATTTTTTTATGCAGCGGCAAGGCTGAGTGGTCCATATGTTAAGACTATAGATATAGGATGTTTAGCTGTGTGGGTTCAAACCCTATTTGGGGGCAAGATGTTTTTTGCTTCAGAAACTTTACACTCATTGCTCTACTGGTTGGTTCCAGGAACAGATTATGTCTTTAAGATTGTGTCTTTAAGCTTAAAATAAATAGCTTCTTACACAATCAAACTAAAATAAATTCTGTGTAAACAAAATTTTTTTTTTTTCTGATGTCTGATATTAATGTATTTTAATAGTTGTAGAATTAGGTGTAGTTTATTTTATAAATTAGATAAAATCATGGAATTATTACAAAAATGCATGAAGTCAAGTTCATAGTTAACATTCATTTCAATACATGATTAATATGTTTTGAAAACTTTAAAGATAAGTGATGTCATTCCAGCAATATTTTGCAGCTCGACCATCTAAAAGTGGCCGATCATTGTCTGGTAACAGAATGTCCACTGGTAGATGACCTTCAATAGGACCATCAATTTCAAACAGTCGACCATCTATGTCTGGTAGTAGAAAGTCTATGTTACAGATTCCTAGGTTTGGTCAAGCACAAAAAAGCAGGTAGGACATTTGAATTAAGTCTATACATGAATTTGAATTAAAATTTGAATTCCTAAAAAATGTCTTTCACATTGTCATGTTGATAAATGAGAAAATATTGTATGTGAATCAAACTTTTTAAATCTTTATTCTTACAGTTAAGTCCATTGATAAAGAAAGTCCAGAAAACTTTATCTTTGTCACAATATTGTTACTATATTGTATAGAGTTATGCCCCCTTTTCACGTGGAAAATATTTTTAATTAATTATATAAATACCAATATCTTGAACATTCAAAATCCCAAACATTGAAAGTTACAGGGCTTCAGTTAATGGAAGTTTGGGAGTCATTTAAATTTTGGCTTGTGACTTCCAAAATCTAATACTTTTCCTTCTTTACCTATATAATGTGACTTCCAATATCAAACATTGTGCAGTCTCTGACTTCCAAATTTTGAAACTTAATGGAAGCCCTGAAGTTACTCATATTAGTTGAGAAATTAAGTGCATAACAACCCATAAAATACCAAAACACTTTGACAAATTTATTTTTCATTGTTTGCCTTTTTCAGGAGCAACAAGTGAAGCATTCATATTTTTGCAATATTTGTGCATTGTGTTTAATATTTGTCATGTTAGGTTGTCTAGAGGAAGTGGTATAGGAATGAGAAGTAATGGTGTCCCAAAAGATCCAAGACCAGTGTCAGACAAGTCTTATCAGCAAAAATCTATAAAGATAGTATTAGAGGTTAGTTTTGATAATCATATAACTATGTAATATATCATACTTTTCTCTAATTCTCAAACAAGATATTAAGAATTTGATGAAATAAAGTACACTCAAAGCCAAACAAAGGACAGCTCAACCTACACTGTAGAATATCTTAAATTTGTGTTGTTTAAAATTTTGCACTTTATGTCCAAAAAGTGTATTTATCTTTGTTAGCATGTTCCTATATTTGTGTTATCATCCTATTTGAAATGAAAAGTGTTGCTGAATAAAATAAGATATTCGCAGTTTGAGGCTATCTTATTTATTTATGTTAACTATTAATAAGAGGTCTGTTTGAGAATATTAACGTAAACTAATCTAACATGAATAAAACCTGTTCTACAGTATGCTGTCAGTATTAAGGAATGGCATTTACGTTTATATTGATTTATAATTTGGTAAATATAAATCTCCCTTTTCCAAAGGACTGGATACCATTCAGCAAAACTATAACTTCAGCAAATAATACAAGGTGTAAATGGTAGTGTAACACATGATGAAAGTCTGTCTGGTCTACAGTAAGCACTGGACAGAAAAAGAGTCAAGATAAATGTTTTTTAAAAAATATCTATATTCATGATTATTATATGAATTTGATTACAGTATGACTCTTATAACAGAATTTTTAATGCTTGTCTTCATGAAAAATAAAAAGATGTTTGAAGAATTATTTTCAGAATTGCTTACAAATGATACTTTCTAAAGATAAACAAAATGCTGATTATGTCTACAGATATGGATTTCCAGAAAATTGAATAAACCAGCAGAAAAAAGTTAAATGATTGTAACACATTGTAAAGATGATTATAATTTATTGAAAAATTTAAGAATATCATTTGTTAGCAATTTAGTTTGAAATCTGTCAAAAATTAATCAAACCAAGTCTGCAATTTTCATGTAATTTTGTTGTGATTACTGCTTCCGAAGGCGGACTCTTCCTCCAGATCTTTGACAGATTATATAAGTTGATTAGCTCTTACAAATGAGCTTTAGTAGTTTAAGGGGAACACATGTCAATCAAACATTGTCATTTCTTTTCTGTCTTCAGTTTTTAACTGAGCGAGGATATCCACATAACATTACATTAAAAACTTTGCAGTCCCCAACATCAAAAGATTTCTTCAAAAATATATGAGGTGAACAATTTATTCTTTCATTTCTTCCTTTGTTTCTAATGTATCATGTACATATATACATGTATGTAAGTATAGAATATTGTGCATCAAGAAAGAAGCATGAATATATATTTTCCTTACATTTACATATCATATATTAAGATAAAATCATAAATAGATCAAAACCTACACAATTTATCAAAAACATGTTTCGCTTTAAAATCAGTTGATCATCATTCTAAACTTTCACATAAGTAGCTGTTATTTTCACACTTGTTGAATTTATTTAATATCATTTGTCACTAATTGCCATATTGAAAAAAGATAATTTTACTTGATTTGAATGAAAACATATTCAATTGTACCTGGTACATGTATTATTTTTTATGTAATTTCCTATTAGTGTAAATGTTTGATATAATGATACTTTCTCAGTGTTGCATCTAGAATTTCAAAATTATGGGGGATTGTCCCCCACTCAATTGAAAAATGTGGGGGATTTGAAAAAGATGTGGGGGACATACATTGACCTTACAATATGACATACCGAATAGAGTTCATTTATTTTACATTCAGGCATTTTTGACAGCTATCGTCCGCTCAAAAACGAAAGTAGAAAAAATAAAATATTGACGAATACTACAAAACACACGCGAGATGACTTAGTCGGCTGCTACACGCGATTTAGTACGTATTTTAGTCATAACCAAGAGTGAAAACAAACATGGCTGAAGCGTTTAAGATACGATGAAGATAAACTGAATTAAGTTGAAAAGATTGTCAGATGCGGGACTTGGCGCGCACTGACTTCAATAAAATGCTCGATCTGCATAAAAAATGCGCAAATCGCGCAATCGCGCGGCCTAGATGCAACACTGCTTTCTATAATTATATATTTATGAAGAGTTATTATGCAAGGTTTACATGTTATTGTTCACTGTTTTGTTACAGTTTATCTATGGATTCATCTCGCCCAAGTACAAGCTCTCGCCTAAACCTGAAGAAGAGATTCCGCGAATCTTGAAGTCAATTGGCTATCCATTTCTGATATCTCGGACATCTATGTTTGCTATTGGTAGTCTCCATACATGGCCTCACATCTTGGTAGCCTTGACCTTTCTCATTGAACTTATTAATGTAAGTATTGTTTATCTTTTGATACTATATATGTGGATATTTCCATGTGTCTATTACTCTAAAAGTTAACGAATTTAAAATTCCAGACATTTCACATGAGGAAATATTAGCGAATCATGCAATGGTAGAATTTAATGACAGGTTGGTTGATATTCACACTAGAGGAAATTTTAGCAACTTTTGTCAATTTGCAAAATTCGCCAACTTAAACACTTATACAGTATTTTATTGGAAACAATAAAAGAGGTAGAAAATATATCTGCTGTTTAAATAGTTTCACATTTTAAGATGTTTTAAGTATTGTAAAAAAAGAACTTTTGAATTAGAAATGTATGTTATTGCAAAGTATATGTAGTCAATATGTAAACAGAGTGACTGGAGAGAATTGTAATGTTCCTGGGGAAAAATAGACGGTATTACCAGTATCTAGTTTTTTGTTTGTCCCGTCCTTTGATTATACATGCTTCGTTTTAATAGCATGTTCTTATATTGAGGATATCTTTCAAAATTTAATTAATGAATATTTCTTTGTTAAGCCAACTAATTGTTGATTATGAAAAGAAAGAAAGAAAAATAGCGATCCTGTATCGTGTTAGTTTTTCAGCATTAAATGAAAAAAAATGGCTGTGTAAGGAACAGAAAAGTAACATGTATCAAAACAGTTGTTTCAGCCAGAATAGTTCAAAGTTTGATATTAGAACTGATATATAGTATGGTATGGCATTTTGTTTTACAGTATGGTATGGCTATAGGGGAGCATATGGAGAATATGATGTTTCCACCAGATGATGATGGTTTTGATAGTGACACTATGTCTGAGGCTCAGCAGACATTTTCACAAAAAATCTTACGATTTATCTTAAGTTTTTCACTTACGATAATCGTAAGTTAAATCTTAAGTCATTTTCACAAAGCCACTCGTAATTTCAAATTTTATCTTAAGATAAAAAATTCACTTACGATAATCTTACGACAAAAACATCCCTAGCAACGTTCATTTGATAGTGATGTGCATGCTCTATATTTGATTCCGGTTTTAAAATCAAGTAATCAAGAGCTTGAAATATCTATTGAACACAATCAAATTTCAATAAGAACAAAAAAATGATTCAAACTGATATAATTTAGACTATATCTTGATTGAAGATAATTATACATATCTAAAAGATTCAGAAAGAAGGTCTACTATGTTATTAATAAATAAAAAGGTACCACTAGTACATGCTGGCAATGAAATCGAACTCACCAATTGTACAAATTATAAGTTTTCAATAATACTAGTCTACAGTATAGTTCACATTATTTTAAACTATTCATAACCCTCTCCATCGTGACGTCATCAAGTCATGACGTCACAAATGTATATGTTGAAAAATAATCATACCTCAATTTGTGTTATTTATAGCATACTGTTTGCTTAATATTTAGTTGTCCTCCAACTTTTTGTTTGTTTTTATTCAGTTTAGGTAAGAGATACATGATATTTTACCCTTAAGAGAGAAAAAATTACACTTACGAACGGGGAAGACCTATCGTAAAGTTACGACAGATTTTGCACTTAAGATTTTCTTAAGATTTTTTGTGAAAAGGAGATTTATCGTAAGATTTCTCTTACGACAAAAAATTGTCGTAAGATTTTTTGTGAAAATGTCTGCTGGTAAACAGGCATTTCTCTTGTCCAGGTTTTCTGTGTCACTGACATTGGTTTTCGTCACAACAAATTGAGAGTCTTGCACTGAGCAATTAAAAAAAAATCTAAATTTACTTTATTTATGACCATAATTATGAACATGTCATTTATTATTTATTTTATATAAAATAAAGCACAGTCTGATTTTATCCACTCCTTGATATGTATTATATTTTAAATAGAAGATGAAATGACACCAGTTCTGTGCCAACTTTTCATTATATTTACAATTTTTACTGCTGAAATATTTAAATAAGTTAAATTTTTACTGACAGTCACAATAAATGATTGTGTAAAAATAACGAAATCTTGGGTTGAAATTTCACACACTTGTTCCTTGTGATTATCTCTTATGATGGGCCAAGATCTTACCTTTTAAGAGAGTTATGCCCCTTTTCTTACTGTCAACCACTGAGAATAGTAAAGCTCAGCTTTTGTTGTTTGTAGAAATATTCTACATTATCTTTGTTTAACTATCAAGAAATGAGATTATTTACACATGGTATTTGTGTTTAATTAAAGAGCAATTTGTTGTGATATTTTTCAGATATTTTACCAGTATGTATGTAGTACATACCACTTTGTTGTAATATTTTTCAGATATTTTACCAGTATGTATGTAGTACATACCACTTTGTTGTGATATTTTTCAGATATTTTACCAGTATGTATGTAGTACATACCACGTATTTTTCAGATATTTTACCAGTATGTATGTAGTACATACCACATATTTTCAGATATTTTACCAGTATGTATGTAGTACATACCACATATTTTTCAGATATTTTACCAGTATGTATAGTACATACCCACTTTCGGGTTAATTTTTTGGAATATTTGGGGGAAAAAAACAAAACTTCTAAACATTATTAAATAAGAAACCCCTTTTCAGTTTTTCTTTGTACATGGGCAAAACTTTAAAATTAAAAAACGGGCCAAATTTAAAACTATGATTTCATGTTCATGTGTTTTTAAAAAAAAAAAGTCCAAATGATGGATGGTTGAAAGGAAAAAACCCCAACATTTTTGGAAACAAAACATTAAAAACAACAAGGAAATTTTTATTATTTTTAAAAAACCCCCGGCCCAAATTTTTCTTTTGATTTTAAGGTATTGCAGTGAAAAACTTTTGAATTTTGAGAAAAAAAAGTCTTACTTGAAAAATTTTTTGGGAATTTTTCCTGGATCCATCTTTTTTTAGGGTCATAGTTCAATACTTTTTAATACATTTTTAACACTATCTGACTTCATATGTCTACAAATAAAATGCTGTATCAGACTAGAGAGTCAAATTTCCGTAAGTTATTACAATAGGAGATACTTGAACGATAGGAGTACATAATGTCCTCATACACCAGTAAAGCAGGAAAGTCACCATATGACATATGAAAAATTTGATTGTAGATGTAGAATATTGTTGCATTTGAGTATTTAGATATGCTGTCAAAATTTAAGATAAAAATTTAGTTTTATTTTGTTACCAGGACACAAGTTTTTAGGGGCAGGTGGCATTGATGGTTTAATAGAAGAAAACAATGCACTAGAACAACAGTTAGAACTCCTCGAGAAAGATCCTGTATGTTACATTTTATATCTAGCCAAAATATTTTAGTAGGTGATTTATCATAATTAAATGAAATATGTTCTCACAAAATAATGTCAACTCACTAGCTTTGATTTGAACTTTGGTTAGCTAAAATCCAATTTCAACGTACCAAAGTTTTACTGTACATGTGTACTGAAACATGAAGCTTTTGCAAGGAAACTGATGATACAAATCTTTCTGCAATTTTTAAATGTTCACAAAAATTTGCAGCACATAATTGAACTATAAATATATAACTTGGTAAGGCCTCTTTAGGCATATGGTTTGGAATCACTTAAAGAATAATTAAGTGAATAAATAAATAAAAAGAGAAACACATGTCAACAAAGATTTCTGTTGTATATTTTAGGACCATTTAAAGGCAGCCAATCAGAGATTACAATTGTTACAACATGATGATGAAAGACTTGTCAGTTACCTCAATGAGTTAGAGACACATAAAAGACAACAGGAACAACAACTGACCGAGGTCGAGGAACTTTGTGCTAACCTGGGTATGTAACACTTTAAAACATAAAATTATCAGTCAGCAATTTCATTTTAACATACAGTTACAACAGTACAGATTTTGTAAGTGTTAATCAAGGATTGGGACAAATTATCTTTGGCAATGAAAATGATATAGAAATGTTTTGATTATTATAAACATATTATTTTCTCCAAAGTAAGCACATGTAACAGTATTGTTCTTGATAAAAGGTGTTGTTTTTTTTCATCATCTTTTCTTTTCTTTTTTCTTTTATGGTAAAGGTTATAAAAAAGGTCCTAGGTGTTCAAGGGCATTTTAGAGTGAAAGTTGTTATAAATTATCAATAAATCAAAATGATTGCCTTTTAATACTGTCTTAAATTCAATCTAGGATGATAATTCCACATGTGTTGAAAGTAGCTTGCTTTCATATGATTGGTATTTCTACCCAGGCTTGAGATATAATATGATAATAAATATACTTTCTTTACCAGTTAGTCTGGATAGCGGATATCTGAATTAAATATTGACTATTAGATTTTAGACAAACTGGCAGCTGATAAAAATCTAAGAAGCATTTCTTCTTCTGTTGTGTGTCTTGAGGTTGAATTGTTGGTTTTCCAAGTTTTATAATCAAACATTTGTTTGTAAAAGTTAGAAAATATTAGATCTATGATTAATGTTTTTAATCATAATGAATTTCTGCAGAAATTAACTTTAAGTGTCTAAGTAATACTCACAAATATTTCTTGAAACTAAAAATGTAGCAATAGAACTGGAATCAGAGAATGCCAAGGTATTGAAAATGCAGTTAATGTACGAGAACCAGGAGTTTACTCAGGAAGATGTGGAACGTATTAACATGAGAACACGAGAACTAGAGCGACAGAAAGCTGACATTGAGAAAAATATACAGGCTGTAGATGAAGATATCTGGAAAGAGGAGATAGGACTCTCAAAAGAAGTTGAACAGGTGATTCTTTATTTTGTTTGCCATTTAATCTGATTGTGTTTAGATTGTTTGTGCTTTAATTTGTGAAAAATTATTTCTTTGTGCTTTAATTCTTGAAAAATTATTGTTTGTGCTTAAATTCTTGAAAAATTACTTGTTTGTGCTTTATTTCTTGAAAAATTATTTGTTTGTGCTTCAATTTGTGAAAAATTATTTGGAAATAGAGTTTTCTGTGTCATTTAGTATTTCTGATGGCACACTAAACTGTGGCAAATTTACTCTATATGGCATGGTTGTGATCAAGTAGAATGTATTTGTATATTTGGCAGGTTCTTAGCTTGGTCTGCAAGCAGGTCATAGTAGAGACTTACATGAAGTTAGTACTTATAGCTACCTTGCTATAGACACAACAGTTAGTCAGATAAAGTTGTTCGAGAAATGATCAGCACACCTGTCTGTCTAATATGTCTAGATGAGCAATAGTGTTTGGCATATTAAAGTGAACAGTTGTTGTGTTGGGCATTGCTCTATCATGTCCTGTATAAGTGGATATTTCTGTGTGTCGAAAAGTTAGTAAATTAAAAATTAAAGACATTTCGCATAAGGAAATATTAGCAAATTGTTAAAGGGTAGAATTTAATGACATGTTAGTTGAGGAAATTTTACCAATTTTCATCAATTGGCCAACTTCGCCAATATTTCCACATGCTAAACTTAACCACTTATACAGTATATACTTGAAAAAAACTTATATCAAACATTCACTTGGTCTCATCTTATATGTTTAGTAATAGAAAGAGTATCGAAACACGAGGCTATCTGATTTGTATGAGGGGGCGTAGCTCCCTAGTATTAATCAGATTGCCAAGTGTTTTATGTTCTTCCTATTTTGTATCATAGTCAAACATAAAAAGGTGCCCTGTTGTCACAATATGAAACCCGGGGGAAAAAGTAACCAATGAACGAGCATCTGAATATGATATTTCTGTCGCTTGCCCTTTGTCTTCCGTCACAATAAGTAAACCCCAGCAAAAATGAGCCAATCAACGGGCATGCTCCGGAGTTCTGGTTACTATAACTGCACTCCAGTTAACGCACTGTGCATGTATATGATTTAACTCTGACACATTTTCAACAGAAAGGTCCCCAAACTATGATACAATTACTAATAATATGCACCATTTTAGTAATTTGCATTCTGTATAATTATGATGCAATAATTAACTTAATAGAATAGATATAATATTTAATAAGCTTTTGTGTTACTTTCAGATCCAGTCAAAGTGTCAAGCATATAATAAATTGGCTCACAGTTTGAAGCTAATACCTATTACAGCTGAAAACTCATCTGGTATTGACTATGAACTGAAGAAAACTGCCTACACTGATGGTACTTTGTCCAACTTCCAAGATATTATAAAGGTTTGATATAAATATATATACATCTGTGCATTTTTTCAAATGAACATGGTAATCTATTGCCTTTAAAAATGCCTTTACTATGATGGTGAACATTAACATTGTGTTTAAAGTACAGAAAATAGATTTTATTTAACTTAAGAAAATGTTTTCAGTGTATTATTATAAAGTATTTCTTAACATTAAATGACTTTTTGCAGTATCTGATATATTATTTGATATATGCTTATATGTCTGAATGGCTCATCATTTACTCTACCTGCCACTCATCCGTACTCATGCGAGATTTAGTAGATGGTCTCTTGCGTAGAAATTGTTAATCACTGGTCAGTCATCCAGGAAAAGTCATTTAGGTGGACCTGTTTCAAATATGTGACAAAAAATGTGTTGAAATTTGTGTAAAGCTGAATAAAACATCATACTATTGCTTGTGTTGTTTAGACTTTAACAATCTGAAGCAGGAAAATTCAGATTACCAGCCTGTATTAGTATAGAGTATGATATTGCTGGTGTAATGATACTATGTTTCTCATGAATATATACTTAGTAGTTGGCAACACAAATAGGTATACAATTGTAGGGTCATTATAAATATAACTTGATCAAGGACTTTCAGTCATCCAGACAATTTTGATTTCTATGTAGGTAAGTCAATGTTTTGTAAGGAATGCATCAGTTATGATTAATGTTATTTTATTGTTCAGCCTGCATTGATAACCCTGAAACAACAGTGTGCGGACACTGCCAATCGTCAAAACTCAGAAAAGATCAAAGTGAAGGAGCAGTTAGAACAGGTAACATTTACCAACTAAATAACAAGGTTTGAAATAGTTTCAAAATTAGGACCATTGTTCTTATCAGAGGATGTCAAGATCCCCTCACATGTTACATACTTAATAAAATAAAATTTGTGGAAGCTATTAGAATGAAAAGTGGTTTTACTTAGGTACATGATTGTATCTGAAATAAAGCACAGAGAGGCATCCAAGGTGTCCCTACACCAGTGTAAGCTCAGCTCAGGGACAAGTTTCAATATATGTAATGGTGTATTGTGACAAAGTGAGAAAAAGACATGCACAAAAGAAGCAAATAATGGAATAAAACTGTTCTATTTTTTTGTCATACTGAAATGCTTTCTATATTTAAACCTAAAGAAAGAGAGACAGTTAAAGCTTAAGTGGTTAATTTATTTATATCAAAATGACAAGCCAGTGTTAAATAGCAGATAAAACAGCTCAGACTAATATTTTGACTCTAACAAGACAAAAATCAGGGAAATCAAGCTATTTTTTCAAGCAGAGAATATTTCGCACCTTACTGCCATCAAGATATAAAAATAGTATAAAATTATTAAAAAAAAAAAGAGAGAAATAAGTAAAAATGTTTCACCTCATTTTTCAAGAATTATTTTACCAATTTTTAAACAGTTTAAAATCAAGACTGGATTGTATTGTGTTTATATCAGTGCTCGATTACTAAATCTTCATCCACCACCAATGTTAGTTTAAAATGACGTCATTCTGGAACCCTTATGAGTTGCATATGTAGGATAAAGTCATTACACTGCTTAGAATTGCTGTAGATTTTTCTTGTATAAATTATAACAACTGATATAGATAAAACTTGTGGCATTAGTGTATGTGAGATGTTATTTTTAGTATCATATGAATAGAAAACATACTAAGAACAGAATGTATAACTTAAGAACTGCAAGGTTTGATGTGTTGCTCTGTGTTATAGAGATTATATAAATCACAGTTGCCTGATTATAATGTGATAACACCAGATAAGCAGAATTTTAAGCATCAAAATAAATATCAACTTTATATCCCTTCATTTCAAATGCTCTCTAAAAGAGTTAGAACCTCTGTGAAATTTTGTCATATTGCTTACCTGCCAACTAGCAGTGTGCTCAATGTTAACTGGTTCTGATATTAGTGATAATGTGACTGATTTTTATAACATTAGTGTTTGAATGCTGTCAGTGATTTGTGGCGCCAGTATAAAGTGCATCCATGTAATATGACTTTTTTACCATTTTTTGTTAGTATATTTTAGCTTAACAGCATTTAAAAATTTTATAATATAATAATGAAAATTTCTATACATTTCTTAACATGTCAAGTCCATTATATGAATGGAGGTGTGTTAGGTTAAGTAAGCATTTTCATGTAAATATAGGTAAATATCTAATTTGTATTTGTTTATTTTCTCTCTATATTGTTATAGACATTGTATATAAAATGTATTACAGGCATCCGAGTATGTGAGTGATCTACAGAATGAGGTTGGTTTATTGGAGAGTAAATATAAGAGAGCAGAGGATGAGGTGGAGGCTAAAAAACAGGTGTTGTATTTGACAAGTAACATACAAATCTCATCTTTATATTACACAAATTATTCTGTTATTATCTATAAACTTGGTGTATTTGTGCATTTCTTTAACGTTTGCATTCACAAAGGTCAATCAGCCTGAGTAATTGATTACAAATCTTTTGAACAATAAACCATGCATTATTTAGGAAAGAGAGATCAGTTATACTATAATGCACGAAAGATAAATATCTATTTCCATTCTAACATACGAATAAAAAAAATTGAAATAAGTTGAACTACATTGTGTGAGGAAGCAATTTTCCTTTCTCAATTTGGTTTATTGCTGTCATATATGACGCAGTATGATGTGTAAGCATTTGTCTTTTATGCTGTCTACATATCGTGCAATAATGCACTTGATTGCCTTATCTGTTTGATAGGCGAATAGTGTGAAGCGTGTTAGAATGTAATGGTCCCAACCCTTGAAGGAATATCCTAATTTAGCACTGCTTTGGGTTGACACTGTATGTATAAATAACTTCATGATTTTTCAGGAAGGTGTTAAAAGTTAATGCAGATTGTATTGTAAGATAAAGTTGTCTTTATCAATATTATAACTGCGTATTCTGTTACTTCACAACATGTGTTTGTCGGGTCTTCACATTCATGATATATAATCAGCTGTTATTCATTTGTATGTACAGATGTATTTGAAGGAGATACAGAGAATGCAGGAGTGTGTAGAAGAGCTTCAGAATGAAATGGTACATTTAGAAAGTGTCATGTTCCTATCCCAACAAGATGCTTCAACCGAGAAGAAAAAACTAGACTCTTGGTTTGTTCTAACAACTTTTATATTTGCATTATTTAATTGAAAACTCTAAAATTTTACGAAACTTCCAAAATAAGAAGAAAATGGAGATGTACAACACATCAACACCAGAGCTTGTTTAGGTTATTAATTTTTACCGGTTTCATTTCTATTGAACCTTCTTCATAATTTGCTTAAATTGCTTATGTAAAAGCCTCTGATGTAAACTTTCTTTACTTGTGTGCAGCTATAGTTAGTCATACATAGAGGATATTGAATGAGTGTAAGTTCAATACTGAATTTATTGCACGAGTTGAATAAAATTAAATTATGCGAGCCTCTGGCGAGCATAATATTGTTATATACAACAAGTTCAATAAATTCAGTAATGAACTTGCACAAATTTAATATTCTATTTATCACATACCCAAAATAAAGACCGTTGAAAGTGAAAAAGAATCATTTTTCCTTGACGCGCCTATAGTATAACGCTAACATTTAGCACGTCTTTACACTATTTTTGTATAACACCAATGACGTCACGTTAAAATATATGCATGGTCGTGCAATACCATATTTACGGAGTCGCAAAATCTGCACGAGTGTGTAATAAAAATGTATACTGTTTCATTTAAAAATTTTATCAAATTTTTAAATGGACTTATTTCACAAATATCCTACTGTAATTTTAAACAGAATATCATCTCCATATTATCCTTAAGGACAGTCATGTAAACTTTCAGGTGAACTTTCAAATTATAAATGTGTTGGGTTTTTTGTTAATAAAAGTTGTCTCCCTTTAGTCATTTATTTGATATAAATTAGGTTACTTTTTTGGTATTACTTAAAACAAACTCATACACTCAACGTATACGATAGTGAATAAGCTTAATTATCATCCTACAAATAAAACTAAGGTGGCATCGTGGAGTTATTTACTCGTCTGACTAATAATCTGAGGATCTCTAGTTACTTCCTTAAAACCCTGTCCGGTTACAAGCCATTGTTCCCTTAAGCAAGAAACTTGACACTTTTTGCTCAGTACTGATTGGTTCTAGGAAAAGATTTGAGAGTGTATCTGTAAGCTTAGTGGTAGTCATAGCTTCCTACACACTCAAACTAAAATAAATTGTGTATAAACCTAAAGGAAACTGTTTTTACTGCAATTTACAAATATTTATCTTTATATGATAATATTGTTCCTGTTCATCTTAAAATAAATACATCATGTCTTTGTTCACCCAAAATGGCCATGAATGTTATATTGGATGTTTATTTGCATTGCTGGGTTTTAAGTCATACCAACACTTTAAACACATGTTGAAAGGTCGTACAGGAATTTCCTAGCTTTACTGATGCAGGAAGACCGCATACAATCCTCCGTGCATTATGTCTTGTACGACCCTCCGTGCATTATGTCTTGTACGACCCTCCGTGCATTATGTCTTGTACGACCCTCCGTGCATTATGTCTTGTACGACCCTCCGTGCATTATGTCTTGTACGACCCTCCGTGCATTATGTCTTGTACGACCCTTCATGCATTATGTCAGACACATGGAACATCTTTATAGAACCACCTTGTGTAAGCTGGGCAGATAGCATATTCACTGGATAGATTCAGGTCTGTAGAGATGAGAGGCATTCAGTTCAAAATATGTGACCTTTATCACTGGGTCATGGAAGACCAGTTTAAGTGCGTATTTTCTAAGCATGCTTGTTAACTAGCACCTTTTATATAGGAAAAATATTCAAATGAATCTGTAACTGTAATTAAAACATCATTTCTATAAATTATCATTAGACTAGTTGAATCTTTGACCATAGTCTCTAGAATTAATGCAAACAAAAATATTTATAGACTTGGATTGTACATTAATCGGTGTATAATTGTTCACACATAGGTCATTACAAGAAAGAGAGAAGGCAAGGAGAAAATTGGAACAGCATAAAAATTTCTTGCAGGAAGCTCTTCAAACCTTTATGGAACATATGGAGAACATGCAGGTAGAGAATCTATTCAATATAATCATCATTGTTAATGGATCTTTTATCCTGGTAATCTACTTGACTCCTATTGAAGTAACACTTTTTCCTTACATTAATAAATTGCTTTGGAAAGTTACTATTATTTTTAAGTCACATAATGTTTCTTTTCGACCGGGAAATAATGAAATAAAGGGCAAGATTTTTGATTTGTAGAAATTCAAGTCATGTATAATTCTTCTAAATAGACTGCAGTTATCTTTATGAAGTTATGGAATTGTAATTCAAAGTATAAGAAATGTAACAGATATCATCATAATTGATTTGTCTGCTTGTCCGATCCATTAGCTAAATAGGGAGAGCATTGGATTTATAATCCAGGGTCCAAGGTTATAAAGAATTTTCCTATGCTCATACTTATAGCTCAGGCATTTAATTGGTCAAAAACCAGCATAAAATTTATATTGACCAATGAAAATCCTGAGATTCGAGACCGATCTCACAAAAAAGTTTTATTATCTACCGACCAGGGGTGGCTGTCTTGATTCTCGGGAGGCGAAATTACTCAATGTCAAATGGTTGCAGACAAAAAGTTTTATATCCATTTGTCACTCTTGAAATTTTAGGCAAAGTTAGCAGAAGCCCACGAAGATTCTGAAGCCTTGAAAGAGAAAGTTAGACAGGAGGCTTCTGCAAAGGGCATCGAGTGACTGAAGACAGGGTGACATGTGGATCTGTTTGTGTCTACATATCCAAAGTGACTCGCCATGAACTGTGTAGTAGATCAACTCTAGTGCTTGTTTAACTTGTATTATTTGATGAATCAAATAAACAAGACTTTGGTCAGCTTGGATGTAATTCAGTAGTCTTGTTATGTTAATTCACAAAGACATAGCTGCAGGCATTAGTGTTCCATTAAGATGTTGCTATTACATTTAGTTGTTGCAAACAGTTTAACAAGTGTAGTTATGGCGGACTGTTTAGCAAGCTGTTAGAAGACAAATGCAGTTATAATCATTATTTTGTCTTTCCTCTGTAGCTTTATATTTAAGAGAGATTTTTTAAAGTACATTTTGAAGTATTTATTGTTAAATTTGTTACCTCATCATAACTGTTAATTGACAGATGCTATCAGTTACAGGTTACCCATACACTCTAGGTACTGTTGTCAAAAATATAACCAGTGTGGGTTTTACGAACTGATCAAGTCGAACATTGTATGTTGTGACAGTATTTTATTGCTTCATGGAAAACATATTGTACATAGTGAAAATTTTTACAGTTTTTGTTTTTTATAATTTAACAAATTTTTGTGCCATATAAGACATCCATGTTTTATGCTGAAAACTACTTTTTCCTAACCTCTTATACTTTCCATAGAATTTAAACACAATAATGCTTGTGAAACTGAGAAAAAAATTCATAGGTGAAAAATTCTAATGTAAAAACATGGCAAGCATTAACATAGAACACTTTATATTTATTAATGCTTAAATCAAAATGACAGATATACAACAGAAAAAAAAACAACAGATGATACTAATAGTATATTTTATGAGTTATTAAAAAATGAAGAATGAATTGGTGAAAAAAGATACAACATACTGCATCTTGGAAAGGAAATCAGAGCAAAAGTGCATTTGTGTTCTTTTTTTGGCATAAATGAAGTAGCAATTGAAAAGTTTCCTGTATGCATATAAGCATTTTGTTAACCTGTTAAAATAATTTGAGAATTTGTATTTGTCATCTGACAAACTGTGTTTCATAAAGTCAGGTACACAGAAATGGAATATGTCAGACTATTATGGTCATCATGAACTTCCTATGTACCTGAATTCTGAATCACATTATATTAGGTGAGATAAGTATGAAGTTGTTTCTCTTGTAAAAACAATTTTTTTTGTTATTATTATATCTGTATCATTGCTCTTTCTTTTTTTACCCTTGTTTGATGAAATAACATATTACATGTAATTCTATCTATCTCTCTATATTTCCCTACTTAACATATCCACATTGTGTCCACAATGTTTTGTCATGTTTTCTAGTAAAAATCTACAGATGAACACCGAGTATTTTTGATTTTATCACTGTTGATTTAAATAGTACGAGGAGTTATCCAAAAATTTGTGGACTTTTTAAATATCTCTTTAACGTTAATGTGTATTGTAATGAAATTTCATCAGCATACATTGTAGAATATTATCAACACATTTTGATAGGAACAGTTAATTGTGTTAATAAATAATGATTTTATATTGCTTTTAAATAAGCACATACACGGTACCCGGCGCACGGTAGAAAAGCGCAATAAGTCATTGTATATTTCTTGCTAAAAAAAACTAAAAATTTAACATAGAAAACCCGCTAAACATTGCATGTTTCTTCTATGATGTCATTTAAGTAATTCTTTAAAATAATGGACGTCATTTCACTTTAATTTTTGTTGATATCGCTAGAAACGCCATACACCTTTATTGTTTACAATGGGAAAATGACTGACACGCAATAATTAGAAAATTGCGTGATCATAAAACAGTCATAAATTTTTGTTGGAATTTGGAAATAACACCTACAAAAACATTTGATAAAAATCAGCAGACGAACAGAGAAAAGAAAATTTCACTATCATAAGTGTTAAAGTGGCTTATGAAATTTTGTGATGGACATTACTTTGAGAAGCAGTAATCGTCATTGACTGCTTAACGTTGAAGCACAAGTTGTACGTTAATATTATGACGTTGACGTCAATAACTTTTTGGAGTGTGCCCCTGTCGCCGACGTGCTTATGTAAAATTAAATATTGTTGTAATGTAAGAAGCTACTCACATGATTTTTTCTGTGTTTATTTGTTATTAATTTTTCTAAGCAGTGTAAGAATTTCAAATTAATATCTTAAACATATTTTACGCAACAAAGAAAGTCCACGAACTTTTGGATAACCCCTCGTATAAAGCTATATATTTACAGCGAAAATAATTAAGGAAAAAAAAGAGAATACATCCAAAATGTATAAACTAAAAAGGATATTGTTTTCAAATAATTTTTAACAGAAATCATGAGCATAATGTTGAAATATTGTCATAATCCCAGAGCTGATCATTTTTTCTCAATGTGTATGATTTTAATGGTTGTTACATTTAAGCAGTGAAGCAATTCAACTGGTTTATATGGCACAAATGGCTCTGGAAAAACTGTTCTTGTCTTTTAACATATGGCACATGTGCAACCAACATTTTCACAATCTTCCTCTGTGTGTAACTGAAATACATGTTTTCAAAAAAAAAAAATTAACAGATACAAATAAAACAACACATTCAAACAATTGGAATAAATTAAAGTGACATTATGCTCATATTTTCATAGTCAAGTTGAGCTGAACTGACTTTATACTTCAAAAGATTGACTGTCAAAATGGTGTTTATTTAACCAACAGGTGATATTGGAAAATGTTTTGGATAAACATATAAATCTCCCTAAAATTTAAAAAAAACTGACCCACTCTTTTTATAAACTAAGCATTATAGGTAAATTGTAATGGATCTTTACAGAAATTTTTATTTGGATCTGTGTTATTTATTGTTTATGTTAACTTAATTACTAATTTAAAAGGATTTATGGCAAATGAAAACTTATTTTGATCTTCACCTGTTCACTCACTATATACCCTTGGATAGGCATAATGTCACTTTAAAAGTTCTATGGATTTACTTATTATCTCCACTTTATGTAGAAAAAGATGACTTTCTGTCATTATTCACTTGTTGTCATTGGTTAACTTTTTTGATATATTTTTTTTTGTTTATGCTCATTTACTTTAACAAAGTTATAACATTAAAACTAAGTATATGGATGCACCTTGATGAGTTCTACATGCCACACCTATTTTCAGATAGAAATAAAATCAAGGTCATTGATACCTGTAATAGATTAGCCCATTTTTTTCAGAAACTGTCGAAGCTTTTTATTTCAAACTTTGTAAACTTGTTAATTTTCAAAATGTGATGCATAAGGGCAAAATTAAAGTTATGGCCCCTTTTTTGACTCAGATTTTTTTGCCCTGATAAATCAATCAAAATTGGAATGTATTTACAAAAAGGCAAAATAAACCCGATAGTCATTGTTCAGAACTCTTCTTTATTTTTTGTTATAAATTTAGATTAACAGGTTGTCAATATATTCTTTGTTTCCCAAAAACCTAATTTATAACTAATTAATTAGGAAATGACAAAACTATTCAAGGCTTTGTATAAATAAAAAGAACATTTTTATACGTATAAGTCAAGACTGCCTGAGCAACCCCCTGATTTCAACGGCTCTTATCTGACCTTCTTTCAGTATGCCCAACATATTTCCCTTTACAAATGCTCTGAATTATAAGACTCCCAGTCATATGTGACAGGCGACCCTAATTGTCTAATCCCAATGTTTTGCTTTTTCACAGCTTTTAATTTTCTGTTTATCAGATAAATTAATAATTGTTTAAACACCCAGAAAGCCAAAATAATTAAGTCTAATTATCATGCTCTTCAAACAAACTACACAACGCTGCCTTAATTACATGGTTTAAATATAATAGTTATCAAGTGACTTTACTGCCATGCCAAATATGGTAAGCATGATGCAATTGAATGAGTGTTAAAATAGGGATACGGACAAAAGCCCCCCCCCCCCCCCCCCCCCCCCCCCCCGCATCTAAAAATGACAAGGTGGACAAAAGCCACCCCAAACATCCCCGCCACCCCATGAAATTTACATACCCCCCCCCCAACCCCCCCCCCCCCCCCCCCCCCAATCCATCAAACAATCGTTATTGAGAATATCGACAATTTAAATCCGGAACTTGATGTATTGAGACAAGTCAAAATCGGTATGTTTAATTTAACAAATAAATGCAATGGTTTTAAAAGATAATTTACATTAAGATGTAAATGTAAATGAATATTTTCAGAGAATTGCTTATCAACGCTTATCAAGGAAATAAAAGTTAAAGGTGCATACTTGTTCACATTTATTTGAAGTATAACCCAAGTTCATGAACACTGGGCATGTGAAAAAAGATAGTAATCAGTCTTGATTAAGGTTCGTGTCAGTTTTTTTTTACTGTTTATGGAGTGCCTATAGAAGATTTTTTTTAGGCAGCATTGTTTTTTATTTCACTCTTCTATGGCTGCATGAATTCTACTGGAAAATTTTGATACCCGTTCCTTCATTTAAGGAGAAAAAACTTTACATATTAATTTGCTGTTTATATTATGTTATGTCTTTTAAAGATTTTGAATGCATCTATTTTAAGTTTATTTTGTACCATAATGTTTAATCATAAATCTTATATAAAAAAGATTTTGTAAAATGTAATTTTATATGATATACATACAGGCATTATTATTTTATTTATATCAAATACTTAAAGTACATGTACTTTGTACTTATATTGCAATTGGTTAGATAATATTTCTTCACACAGTTACATATGTTAAGTCACAATGGTATATACATTTAGATGGTTTTTCTTTGAGACTGTAGTAAGAGACCCCCTGTCATATGTGACTTCTTTCTAAAGGTCCCTTGGAAAATCACATAACAGTCCCGACTGTACTTTAGATTGTCAATTAAGTTTAAAGTCTGTATTATAATATAGAGGATGTTTGTTTGTTTTGCATGTAAGATCAAAATATATTTCACTGAGTGGACACCAGATGCAATAATTTCACGAGTGGCATAGCCACGGGTGAAAATATAATAGCTGGTATTCAGAAGTGAAATATATTTCAATTTTACATGCAAAACAAACAAATTTTCTATTTATTTTATGCTTTTATAGGGATTTTAAGTCATTTTTACTTGTTTTGCCGCCTAACATCATGCGTTCTTCATCACAACGTCATCACATCATGACGTCTCCATACCAATGTTGAAATTTAGTTCTGTAAAATTTCTCGCAATTTGTTACATTTTTAACATAATGTATGCAGGTTTTTACTTCTTTCTCCTAAAGAAACAAAATTTACATGTGACAGAATTTATTCCTGTTGATATTTTTATTTAGTTATGAATTATATTTTCATCCGCATTCAAATATACTCAAGCTACAGTGAAAATTATCAAATATAATTTCACTGTGAAAATTATCGAAGATAATTTGACTTTCCACTGCAAAGCATGTAATAAAACTCATTTATCAAAATAATTATTCAAGATATAGAAGTAAAACATGAAGGGGACTCTTAGGTTACTTGACATGATGGGACTGTCAACATTTTTGAGATAAATATTTCATTTGACAATAACTTGTGTGCAAAATTTCAGATCATTCGCTCATTCTGTTTTTCCAGAATATTTATTACAATTGTGAAAAATGACCCAAAATTGAAAATATTGCAAAGCATTTTACCTAGATTGGGATAACAATTCCACAAAATTTATTATTGAGAATATTTCTATTTATTACATGCTTTTCGGTGGTTTATAGAAATATATAAGTGATATAAAACCGGTAATTTTACTGTTTGAAACAGTGAAATTACCACTTTGATAATTTCACTGTTTTCAATTTAAGCCCCTTGCGTTGTGTAAGTGAAATACCAGCGTGCACAGTACTGGGTACCAACTTAATGACGTGACACCGTAAATGACGACACATTGTATTATTATTTCATTCAGTATTAGGTTTAATGTCTTTTTAAAACGTTTCTTTGCATATAATAAAAAGAAAATTAGTTTAGTTTAGTGTAAGATCGAAATATATTTCTCCTTGTGAACACCAAAAGTTCATATTTCACTTGTGGCTGCGCCACTCGTGAAATATACCTTTTGGTGTTCACTCAGTGAAATATATTCTGATCTTGCACTGAACTAAACAAATATCCTCTATATAATCCTTAGCATATCTCTCAGTTTTGTGTCCCACCTGATCTTTATGAGAAATTCAATTTTTTAATTTTTTTTAGAATTTTTCAACTTAAGTTCCAATAATTTTTTGTTTTGTTTTACTGTCAATAATGAGTTGTTTTTATGACTCACATTGAATTTTATTTGAAAAGAAAATAATAGATTTTTAGGAATATTACCTTTATTTCTGTACTTGTGCCAGCATGTCCACAGATGTTACATGTGAAAATCTCGTGAGCCATGTCCCTCATTGAGGCTTTATCCTCATATACATTTACTTCATTCATCTGAATAATATCATATATTAAATATTTTGTAAATCTTCACTATTTTGGTGAATATTTTCAAGGTTACATTGGGAATTAACAATAGCTTCCTTTTTTGCAAAAAAAAAATCAATGTGTTTATTTAAGGTTTGTAAAGTGATTCAAGGCAGACAGCAATCTAAAGAGTAACAATGCTGTCAAGATAGATTTAGTTTGTTATCATATCGCTAATGTCTGTTTGAAGTCTTATTCTATCATAGCATTACTTTGTTTTAATCAAGAAAGTAAAAATATAAATGAAATATTATCATCACCTTCAATTTGAAACAGTCATATTCAGGCGGCAGGTTGTCCTCAATGCAAAGAGCACATCTTTCAACTGAGCTAAAATGAAATGTACATTTATGTTGTATAAGAAAAAACTTCATTGTAGATGTGTATACAAAACTATTAGAATTTTACACAAGTTGTCATATGAAACAATATTACATTATACATGAGGGTGTCTATGGTCGAGTGGTTAAGATCGTTGACTTTAAACCACTTGTCTCTCACCGCTGTAGGTAAGATCCACGCCAGCGTTTTTGAATTCTTTAATGTGAGACAGCTGTCCAACTAGCTTATGGAACATTGGTGGTTTAGTCAGATGTTCATATGTGCCTGAAATAATGCACAAGGAGGCACTAGAGGTATTTCTCAACAAATAAAGCTGGAAAGTCGACATAGGACCTAACCTGTGTTGCAGCGACATAAAACCCAATTTAAAAAAAATTATACATTTACGACAAGGATGTAATTCTTAACCACATATTAATTAAAATTGCAAACTTGACTGGAACTCTGTTGGAAAAGGAAAATATGCATTGTAATTTCATTGGAATGTTTTTGTTAAAAATTTGATAGCACTGCACATTACATATCAACCATATCAATAGGCTGTTGGTCACCATAGAAAAATTTTGACACATTTTTATGAGAAAATAAAAGAGTAGTTTAAGAATAAAATAATTTTAGAAATAAGACCTGGCACAGTGTGCCAGACTATTCTCATTGCTTGATAGTAAAACAAAGGAAAGTTCTAAAAGGGCCATAAGTCTGTCAAAATCCATGTTAGATGTAAGGGCCTCAGACAGTGATTTTCCTATTATGCTCTCAAATAAGTGTGTGAAGTTTCAACTCGTCAATAGTTTTGGAGATTTGCATGCAATATCTTAAACAAAGTGAAGATGCTGAGGTCTGGGCGAGGAGAATAGTTTTTTTCACTATTCTTTGAATAGTCAGGCCAAGAAGAATATAGGATGCCTCTATGTTTAGAAAGCAAGAACAAGATCTTAATATATATTATAAATCTGCATAAAATAGGTGTGTAAAAGCATCTTTCTTTTACTTCAAACAACAATGAGCATCTGGTTCTTTACAGAAAATGTACTGACATTACAATATTGTCTTGAAGATCGATATGATGATGATAAAGGAACATACCTTTGCATTTTAAAGAAACAGTTCCAGTGGAACTTGTGCCCATTTTCTACTGCCTGGCATACATCAGTTTCTAGCCATTCTTCACATACTGGACATTTCAATTGCATGAATACATTTTTGCAAGTATACTGTTCTTTATTCATTCTATACTGTTCCTTGTTCATTCCTAGTTTCTTTTTCATTCAAAAAACATGGAGGACTAAACATGCACTGCTGAGCATGCGTACTGTAAACTTACTGCGTACTTCTGGTTTCCCATTATATTTTAGTAATCGATAATTCTTGTACCATATCTAGATTTATTATATTTACGATCATTCTACCTGAATAGATAGATCCATAGTTTATTATTCATGTCTTTTGGAATCGGTTCAAAATCAATATTTAAAAGGTTCAATTACAATATTGCGTTTTATTCATAATAGTTGTTCCAGTAAAGAATATTTAACATTGAAAATGCTCAGCAGGTATAGACAGTATGTACTGGTGAAGGAGTAGAAATTTAGCGGTCGAAGATAGAGCATTATAAAACGCTTATATACGATTAAACTTTAGTGCAGTCAATATGTGCCAATGTTTCTGTGTCCTGAATGTGTCGTCCTTTTTTGCTTTATTGAAATATTCAGGCCTACTTTGATCACAGTCATGTTGTGTTTTGTTTTTTTGTAACACTGGTAGTATTTAGTTCGGGAATTGACTTATTAAGTGTACAACTTAGTTTTTCTATAAAATTTTCAGAAGTATGTTTAAAATATATAAAGAATAATCTGAAAGCTCTTTTACCAGTTAACTTATTAAATGCGCTTTTTGTCACTTGCATTGTAAAAACTTTCTTTAATCTGCACCGTTCTGTGCTTTTGTTTCTGTGAAATGACATAGACATAAATCGCTCCGTCCTATCACAATATGATTTAAAAAAATCAAGTTTTCACTAATTTAATCCACTCATTTCCATTTGTACTCCTCAGTATTCATTTTTTTTTATTTGTCTCATCTCATTAGAAAAAATCAAACAAACCCTCTTACAGAAGCTTTCACTGAGGGCCTTTACTCATTTGATTTCTGATGCCATTGTTCAGTTATCTGGTCTTTAATTCTGAAAACTTTTCTTTATGTCTCTCCATGACATGCCAATATTACTGTTCCTAAAATATTTCTTGGTTTGAACGTTACCAAGTAATGTTGGATTCTGAAATAGAAAAATGAATGTTGATATAACATGTGCTATTAATACATCAATAGGAATGACTGTACATTTGATACATCAACAGGAAACCCTGTACCAGTGATAATCAATCTGGAAACACTGTACCAGTGATATATCAACTGGAAACACTGTACCAGTGATACATAAACTGGAAACACACATCAACTGGAAACACTGTACCAGTAATACATCAACATAAATTACTGTACCTGTGATACATCAATTGGAAACACTGTTCCAGTGAAACATCAAAAGGAAACACTGTACCAGTAATACATAATGAGAATAACTGTACCAGTGATACATCAACTAGAAACACTGTACCAGTGATACATCAACTGGAAATACTGTACCACTGATACATCAAAGGGAAACACTACTAGTAATACATCAAAAGGAAACACTATAACATTGATACATCAAAGGGAAACACTGTACAAGTGATGCATCACAGGGAAACACTGTTCCAGTAATACATCAAAGGGAAACACTGTACAAGTGATGCATCACAGGGAAACACTGTTCCAGTAATACATCAAAGAGAAACACTGCACCATTGATGCATTATCTTGAAACACTGTACAAGTCATACACATTAAAGAGAAACACTGTACCAGTGATACATCAAAGGGAAACACTATACCAGTGATACATCAACTGGAAACACTGTACCGGGTATACATCAAAGGGAAACACTGTACCAGTGATACATTACAAAATATCTGAAAAAGGAGTTCCCTGTTAAATTTTGATAAAGAAATTATTTTTAAGAAAGGTTTATAAGAAACTGTTCTAAATTTGTTTATTCATTTCCTATTAAATTAATACTAAGTAAATTACTTGTAGTTAAAAAACCAAAACTGAAAATTTAATTCAGTTCAGTTATTTTTTATGTTTTAACACAATTTTTTATACATACCATTATGTTTTTTTGTTTTTTTTTCTCTATTTACTTAATTAATATCCATGTCATTTTCAAACATATTTTTAACACGTATTGCTGTCCCAGGAGTAGTCCAGACTGTTGAAATGATCACTGTATCTCATTGGAATCTTGCCAAGTATACATACAAGTATACCTGGGTGTTAATAAAACATTGATCCAATATTCAATAAAACTTCAGTACATGTAGGACTAAGTAAATAATACTGTTAGGATTTTGTATTGATTTCATTAGGGTTTTTGCAAAAGATATCAAGTTTCCCATTTTTTTAAACTTACCTACTGTGGATATGCCAAAATAAGGATAGTGGGGTAGATTAATACTGAACACAATATTTAGATATTGAATAATTGTATGTCTTAAGCAAAGAAGTAAAGTGTGATTAAATGTAACAGGTAACAGTACTGTCATTCATACATAATTATGTGTTATATATTGCTGATGAAAATACAAGAGCAATCAGTGATCACATGTGTCAATTCATGATAGAGATGACTTAGCCAAAAATTATTCAACCTAAAAATCTGTGTAATATGTACAAGAACTTGAGCTACCGATTAATCCTGTAAAGTTTCATTGAAAATGCATTAGTGGTATAAGAGGAGTAGTCTAGACAAATCTTAAAAATTAAAATCATTAAAGGGCCATCACTCTGACAAAAATCACTGAACCGAAAAATGTCGATGAGATGCACAACTAGACATGATTTAACTTTATTAACACCCTTTTCTTTCAAGGGCCATAACTCGGCCAAATATCATTCAAGCATAAAACAGGTGTAATATGCACAAAAAAATGACCTACCAATCAATCCTGTAAAGTTTTTTTTTAATTCCGTAAGTTGTATAAGAGGAGTAGTCTGGACGAACTTTGAAAATAAAAGTAATTAAAGGGCCATAACTCCGACAAAAATCCTTGAACAATAAAAAGCCGATGATATGCACAACTAGACTTAGTACTGATCTTGCGGGTCAATGACCTATGAACATTTAGTTGTATTACACATAATACGGGAGTTGTCTCCCTTGTTTTTAGCTCTCCATTTGTTTTTCACAAAAGGACATTTTGTGTTCGTGTTAATAAACAGTTATATTAAGTCTATCGATCGCGTATTCTTGTTTACTGGCGTGGTGGCAGCTGTCGGATAAAAACCCAGACTTCCAGTATATGTGATTACTATCGTCATTAACGAACTGGTAACAAAAATATAGCCAAAAGCTGCTGGGACAGGTCTAGGATTTCATGATATCTATCAGGCTGGTGAAAATGCCCGATCGGGCTTATGTCATAAAAAATTATATTTCGAGAAAAGAATTAAAGATATATATATTTCTTTTAAACTTTGTTTATTTATTGAGAATGATATTTGACATAAACAGAAAGAACTAGAAATGTGTCGTCACGCCACGGATGCCCTAGATCTAAAACATCACATGTCTAGAAGAGTCCTATATTTACACACTATATCTATAAAAACACACACTATCTATAGAATTATAGATATATATAAAAATACGGATGTATACTTTCACTTCGGGTAAAATGGCGTTTGACGTGAGAAGCAACTAATACAGCAAAGAATTTACAGAAAAATGTACTAAAATAAGGTAAAATAACCTTACCTGAAACTTTTAAGTAAGATTCAATTGTACTCTGGAACTTAAGAATGTATCAAATGGCCGAAATTTCGAACACAGCATTTGAGGACCGCCAAACTTGCTATGTTGCATGACAAGTTTTATATATGAAAATGACTTAATGCACACAATTTCTTAGAACGCATAATTCGCACGAGAAAAACATGATTTTGTGTGAACACATCCGTATTTTTATAGATGGTATTATCTATAATTTTATAGATATAGTGTGTGTTTAATAATGTGTAAATATAGGACTTTTCTAGACCTGCTTAAGACGTTAAGTACTGTTAGTATACTGTGCTCCTCTTAGTTCACGGTACTTAACAATTTGAAACATGACATAAAAAATCAAAGCACAGAAGGCGCTGAATTTGTTTGGGTCTCAGAATGTCAGAAAGGTGAAGGTTGTGAGATTATAAAACAATTTGTTTTTGTATAGTGCCACCAATCCTTTCCATCGTTTTAATTGTAGTAGATTGGCTATATAAGACTAATTGCAACACTGATATTCGATCAAATGTTAATTTGACTTAAATAATTTGAAAAAAAAGAGTTGTCGTAAATGGGATTTGAACTCCAGACCTCTCGCTTCATAAGCGAGCGCGCAAACCCCTCGGCCACGGTGAATTTATATGGTATCGGCCTGAAGAAAACCATATTATTCTATTTAGGGTTTGTAACGACGCTAACTTAGGAAATAGATATCAATTCTGAGTGCATTGTTGTAGAATAATGCACGGTTTGAGTTCAATTGCGTAGTAATATAATCACGAAGGCCGATAGGCCTTCGTGATTAATTACAAAGCATTTGAACGAAAAACTTGCATTATTATACAATAATGCACGAAGAATTAATATCTATTTCCATTCTAACACGTCAAGAAAAAATATAAGTATTATTGTAAAGTTGGACTTTATGTTTGGCGGTTAAATTTTTTTTCGCCTCAGAGTTTCCAATAGAAACGTTCTTTAAAGGCCGTTCCAGTGGGTTGAAAAAAACTGTCGTTAAATCTACCGTGTGTAGAAACATTTTGAGAATAACGAATTTTGAAAACGTTGATAAAACTTTGTTTGTTTATTCTATTTCAGTCTATAATTTTCCAAGCGAAATACAAATTATTAAAAGTGAAATAAATGTAAAACTTAACTCGTCTGCGACGTTAAAATAGCGTACTTGATTTTGATTGTTTTGCACGTGCTGTTTGGCGCTACATTGTGACGTCACGTTAACAACACTTTAAACGTCTGTACAGCGTTAACGACTAAATTAAAGATATTGGTGTTCGGATTTATTTTCTTAGGTAGACCATTTTCTATCATTCTAGATAGTTTTCACAACAAAA